TTTTATATAGAGTATTAGTGTGAATTACATTTTGAGTAAATATAAGCCAATTACGAGTTAAGTACAGTAAACAGCGCTGTAAAAGTGAATGTTGAAATATGAACCTTTCTCTTTTAAGCAGACCTTTTACATTAAAAACAACGGCTTTATGTACTAACTGTAACCCGCAACTCCATTCGCGGGGAATTAAAAACTAAATAAGTAGCCTATGTGTTCTTCCAGACTATGTCCAGTGTAAACATTGAGCCATACATTCAAACATCCGTCCAATTTTCGCATTTATAATATTAGTAAGATTAAATACAACTTAAAAACAAAATTTGTAATGAATACCATTTTGTTTTACAAGATATAATATAAACTGTAGTATATGAAATAACTAAACACTTTTCTCATACTTGTCAGTTAGCAATAGCGAGATGAAAGCTATTAAATGGTTCAACAAAACTTTATTGTTAAAATCAAATATTTTTATTATACTGTTATATTGTAAAGAGGAAAAATTTGATTGAATAAACCACTGAATCGAATTAAAAAAATTATTTACTATAGCGAATCTTCAGGAACGACATGGGCAAAAATTATTACTTGATTTTTTTTAATTCCGCGCCTACAAACAACTGCTAATTTTATATAATTAGTTAATTAGTTGCAGTTCATTAACCTTTTTGGACTTTTTTTATAATATAAAAGAAATAAATACAAGAAAACTAATTATGGGTTCTCATTTATCACGTACTATTCTACATTCACGTAAGTTTATTTAAATGTCTAGAAAATTATCCACCTGTTTGTCATAAGTCTGGGACACCCTGTATAGCTACAGATTAGTCACTAGCTGACAAAGTAACAGTTATGAGATGTCCCGATAGTAATAAAAGCGCCCGCAAACGTGACTTCCTCGCTAGCCCATACCAAGTCCAAAACGGTGCACTTCCTTATATACATACGAATTTAACCTCTAGCGTATTCGGAATAAGGTTCATATTTAAATATCAATGCAATAGCGGTTTACTTACCGTTAAGTTAGATGCAATTATATAGAACGATAATGGAATTCGTGATAGATTTTTATTATAAAAAATAATAATGGATTCAATTTTATTTTTATTTTAATAATTGGATTATTAATAATTAATAATACGTATATGAGAAAGTATTAAGCGCCTGTGATGTTTGTAAAGCGAATTTTTATAATGACTAAAACTCAAGTACAAAATTTAAGGACATTTATGTGTTTTCCCGAAATAATAATAGCTTTTAATTCCTTAGCATTTAAAAGAATTATAAAAATCGGGACCACTAGGGGCGGAGTTATCGAGCAATAAAAAAACATACAGACGAATTGAGAACTTCCTCCTTTTTGAAGTCGGTTAAAAACAAGTCAAATCACTTGTAATATTTCAGTAGTAAATGTAATAGGTTCAATTCGAGATGATTTTAGCACAAAAATTCACCACAGATTATTAAAATGTATACAAAAGAATTTCGATGAAAAAAAATTCCATTCTTAATAGCCTGTGCGCAGTCATTTGAACATTAGAAAGGTATTTGTGGTGAAAGCTCTCTGAAAACGTAATAAAACGGTTTTCTTTTCACCGCACGATAACCGTTACGACACGTAAATCTCGTAAATGTTCTCTACATTGCTTTGTAACGTAAATTACAGTTAAAAATCCAAGAAATTGCTACTGTAATTTTTTGTTGGCTTTTTGTATAGAAAGCCTGTGCTGTTTTTTTAACCAACTAGAAGTTTACCGCAACTTTGTCTGCGTGGAATTGAATCATCATCAGCACACTAAAAATCCCCACTGATGGGCTCGGAGCCTACCCTAAGTTAGGCGTGACTAAGCCATAGTCAACCACGCTGACCAAATGCGGGTTGGTTGACTTCACACATATCATTGAATTTCTTCTCAGATATGTGCAGCATCACGATGTTTTCCTTAACCGTAAGAACGTCGGATAAATATACATATGTAAATCGGAAATCGAAGAACACATTGGTACATGGCGGGATTCGAACCCAGGAACGGTAGATTACAATTCAAGTGCTTGACACCTGAGCCACCAACGCTCCAATTGAATATGTCATCTCAGTGAAACATTTTTTTTTAATTCGGTTACCTAGTTTTGGAGCCTATTCAATACAGACCAACAAATGTTTCTTGTTTATAATATTAGTATAGAAATAATAAGAGTGACTCATTATGGTATTATTGGTATGGTTGTTTCAGCAGTGAAAACTCAAATACGTAACAGATACGTAATAATAGAAACATATAGACAAAATAATGTAATTCTTTGCTTGAGCGCGCTAGTACGCATGCGCGAACTAAGAACCGTAACTACGAATAGCTACTTCTTGTTATATATAACATACGAATCGTAATAGTTACGTCATAATGTAATTTCATAACAATAAAACATGTTAATCTACAATGAAACCCATTTAAAAACAAGTATAGACTGATAATACTTTGTTCTTAAATTAGCTGTCGTCAGCGACTCCGTACGCGCGGAATTAGAAAAAAACTTAGGAGTCTATCTGTTCTTCCAGACTATGTTGTACATGTAAGCTGAATTTCAACGAGATCCGAGCATCTGTTCTGAAGATACCTTCTAATAAACATCCATCCAAGCATTAGTAAACTTACTAAAAATAATCCATCCATCCATCTCTAACTGTTTAATTCATTCCCTTCTTTCGGTTATACTTTCCTCGGACTAATAATAGAAATTCAAATACTAAAAAAGTTTTTGAAATTGAATAGTCAATTTTAATCTTCCAGGGCCAACCGACGAACCAAAGATGACTCTAGAACAGCCTACAGGTGAGATGTGGCAGAAGATCCGAGAGGAATTGAACGAGAAGCCTGAAGGCAAGGAACAAGATTTGGAGCATATCAAGGAGTGGCTCAAGAAAGAACCACATCTACCTGATGAGTTTGGTAAGTAATTTTAGGAAGAAAAACCAACACTGTGCGAGTGTATCGGCGCAATACTAGACCTAGATTAAAAAACTAGCTATTGCTTGTGACTCCGTCCGCGTGGAGTTAAAAAAAACCATAACTAGTAGCCTATGTCTTCTTCCAGACTATGCTCTACATCTATGACAAATTTCACTGAGATGCAGTTGTTCTGGTCGACCTTCAAACAAACAACCATTCATCAATCTAAACTTTCACATTTATAATATTAGTACGATGTAAGATTTACGTTGGGACCAATGAATACAATTTTTTTTTTAAACCTTCACAGATGACCAACGTATCATGACATTCCTCCGTGGCTGCAAGTTCTCATTAGAAAAGGCCAAGCGCAAGCTGGACATGTACTTCACAATGCGCGCTGCTGTTCCTGAATTTTTCGACAACCGTGACGTCATGCGTCCGGAGTTGCAAGAGATTTTAAACATCGTGTAAGTATATATTTAGATTGACTTTAAAAGGATCTTATTTAAAAAATAAGTAAACTTTAATTCTATCATAGAAAACTTTCAGCGTCGGTAGCTCAGAGGTTAAGCACTTGACTTGTAATCTGCAGGTCATGGATTCGAATCTTTATTCCCCAAAACTCTTAATATTCATTTTACTGTTTTTTATTCGTTAGTAGATTATTGGGTGTATTTTAAGCTATTTTAATTAATAAACTTATTATATAAGTATAGTTAAAAGATGACATTATAGGAAGACGTATATTTAAACCTTAATTCGACGAAATTTTTTGTAGCAAAAAAAACTGTTTTTTATTTAGTAAATTCATACTTACGTAATTTTCTTTAAACTAGTTTAGTAGATTTTTTTTAATTAGTTGTTCGTCACACTGGACACCATCGAATTAAGGGTTAACCACTGTTAATCACTTTTTATTTATTATCAGGCTTAACAAATTCTCTATCTATACAAAGTGGATGAAAAGATTTCACAATTCTATGACGTAACAGTATTAATTATCATTTTAATTACCCATAGAAAATAGCAATATTTAACAATAAACTCCGCAAAATACCCAATCAAATAATACACTAGGAAGAACTATTACATCTATGTAGAAACATCATCGTATTCAATCACAATAATTATATTTAATCGTTTCCATTTACGATATAAAATAACTCCCATATTACTAATATTATAAACGCGAACCCTTATAGCAATTGGTTCTCAAACTTATTTTGTCTACTGCCCACTTTGAGAATAAATATTTTTTTAGCGCCCCCATATTTTCTCATATTTAAAACCCACTATAACTTCAAATTAAATTAATTAAATATTGTGACCTTTAGTTATGTGGGATTCTCCTCCATAACGGAGGCATACCCACTAAACTTCTCTGTTCCTCCAACGCATCGGGACGGGGTCACGGGAATTATTGTGACCTATATATGTATATTAACGGAGAATTCTAAACGAAACTTTTACTATAACCCGCAACTTGAGACATGCCCACAAGGGGGCGTTATCGCCCACTTTGGGAAAAACTGGTTTAGATGGATGTTTGTTACAATGTATCTGTGGAAGGGTTAAGCGGATATTGATGAAAATAGTCATAGATTTTTTTTATATCATAAGGTGGCAAACGAGCGAGCGACCACCTGAAATCGCTGACCGTTACCCATAGACATACGCAATTGCATATACATGTAGAACATAGTCTGGAAGAACAGACTACTTATGTAGTATTTTAATACCACACAGACGGAATCGCGGGCGACCGCTATTTTATCATAACATTAAATAAAGTAATCAATGATTTTATGATGTATAAATATTATCTATGGTCTAGTCACCCTTGATTTAGGGTAGGGTAGAACAGAGAGGTTTAGTGGGCATGCCTCCGCTATGGAGGAGAATCCCACATAACTACCGCGTAGGGGCGCGGAGTATGCATAAAGCATTCCTCACTGGAAAAAAAGGGTAGGCTCCGAGCCCTTCGGTGGGGACGTATAGTGAGCTGATGATGAAATATTATATAATAATTTATTTATTACTTGTGTTTTTTCAGTCAAATGCCACCGTTACCTGGTCTTACTCCAGATGGTCGACGAGTCATCCTTATGAGA